ATTAATAGATAATAGAGAGATAGAGAGATAAAGATAGATTGAGAGATAGGTAAAGAAAGAAAGATAGATAAAGAAAGAGATATGTAAATAGACAGATTAATAGATAATAGAGAGATAGAGAGATAAAGATAGATTGAGAGATAGGTAAAGAAAGAAAGATAGATAAAGAAAGAGATAGGTAAATAGATTAAATAGATAATAGAAAGATAGAGAGAGATAAAGAAAGATGATAGATAAAGATAGATGATAGATAGATAGATAGATAGATAGATAGATAGATAGATAGATAGATAGATAGATAGATAAAGATGGATGGAGAGAGAGTGAGAGAAAGAGATAAAGACAGACATGATAGGTAAACAGACACAGGGTCAATTTTTCTAACCTTGTTTTTTTGTCTTCCTAGGTCTCGGCTATCCGGTGTTCAAAGGGATTATGAAGAAAGGGTACAAAATACCCACACCCATCCAGAGGAAGGTGAGGACACAGTTAGGACAACCCCCCCCGCCCCCAATTCTTTAGAATAACATGTTTCTTCCTCCTTGAATTCTGTTCATGGAGGAAGAAACTCTGAATAATCGATCCCTTGTGAGGTCAAATTGTTAAGTGAATCAGAATGGCACAGAGCCGTGAGGGCGGACCGATGGCACGCAGAGCCATTTCGCCTGGCACTTGGCGATGTCGACTGTTCCCTCTTGCATGTTTCTGATGTGCGTGCACTGATCAGCTGGCCTTTGTGCGGGTGGCAGTCCCGGAAACCGGAAGAGCTGATCTTCCCTTCGGCCAGCTGATCGGTGTGTGGACATGCGTAGCAGTAACCGGAAGACTTGCCGGAAACCGGGAATAAGTTTTTTTGGGGCATGCATGTTGCCTGGGCAACCCCCCCTTCTTCCTGATCGCGGGCCAGATGCACGCATGCAAAGGGCTTTGTTTTCGGACTTAGGCATCCCTGGCGGAGAGTCTCCTCCTTGAACAAGGGGTTGGACTAGAGGACCTCCAAGGTCTCTTCCTGCATTCTGTTAATTTCTCTCTTGGTTCAACCCGGGTTGCGAAATGGAAATGCTGTGATTTAAAAAACGGCCGTTGGCTTTTGGGTTTTGCCTTCTCCTGCAGACCATCCCTTTGATCTTGGACGGCAAGGATGTGGTGGCCATGGCAAGGACCGGAAGTGGGAAAACGGCTTGTTTTCTGATTCCCATGCTGGAGAAATTGAAAGCCCGCTGTGCCAAGACGGGAGCCCGAGCGCTCGTCCTGTCTCCAACCCGAGAACTTGCTCTGCAGACTCTTAAATTCACCAAAGAGGTAACTTTCCAAAATAAAATAAAATAAAACCAGAGGGAGGATTGGAACTGGACGTGAACTCAACCTGATTAGTTGTCACACTGATGATGCTACCTAGTTGGGTCGTGAAACGTCTGCAAGAAAAGTCCCAAGCTCAGAGAGCACCAAGGACCCCACAACTCTCCTCCTCCTCCTCCTCCTCCTCCTCT